TAGCTACGGGTTTGTTGATTTTGTTAATTCTTCTGAAGAATCAGCTCTTGGCTTTGTTAATTCTGTTTTTCTATTTTTTATTTATCTCTGTTCTAATCTTCATTATTTCTTTCCTTCTGCTAGCTTTGAGTTTAGTTTGTTCTTCTTTCCCTAGTTCCCTAGGTTTTAAAGTAAGGTTGCTGATTTGAAATCTTTTTTGTTGTTGTTTTTTTTAATGTGAGCATTTACAACTATACATTTCCCACTGAGTACTACTTTTGTGGTGTTCCGTAAGCTTTGATGTGTTGCGTTTTCATTATTATGCATCTGTATGTATTTTCTCATTTCCCCTGTTATTTCTCCCTTGACCCATGGGTTTAGAGTATGTTAATTTCCACATATTCGTGGATTTTCTAGTTTTCCTTCTGTTACTCATTTCTAACTTAATCCCACTGTGGTCAAGAGAAGATACTTTGTATGATATCTTTTAAATCTGTTGAGACTTAATCTGTAGCCTAAGATATGTTATATCCTGGAGAACGTCCCATGTGCCCTTGTAAATAAGGACTGTTGTTGTTATGGAGGATTCTGTCTATCTGTTAGATCGAATTGGTTTACTGTGTTTGTCCAAGTCCTCTATTTCCTTACTTATTTTCTGTCTTGTGGTCCTATCCGCTATTGACAGTGGCGGGGTGGGGGGCGGTTTGAAGTCTCTATTATTACATAACTGTGTGTCTCTCCCTTCAATTTTACCAATTTCTGCTTCACATATTTTGATGGTCTGTTACTAGATGCAAAAAGATTTAACAACGTTATGTTTTTCTTGCTGTACTGAAACTTTTTTTTTTAATATATGGATCCTTCTTTGTTCTTTTGGTTAAAGTCTAGTTTGTGTGATATTACTATAGCCACTTCTGCTTTCTTATGGTTACTATTTGCGTGGGATATCTTTTTCCATCCTTTTGTTTTCAACTTATTTGTGTCTTTGGCTCTAAAGTGAGTCTCTTGTAGACAGCATATAGTTGGATATATATTTTAATCCACCCTGCTTTTTTTTTTTAAGATTTTATTTATTTATTTGACAGAGAGAGAGAGCACAAGCAGGGAGAGAGGCAGGCAGAGGCAGAGGCAGGCAGAGGGAGAGGCAGGCTCCCCGCTGAGCAGGGAGCTCAACGTGGGACTGGATCCCAGGATCCTGGGATCATGACCTGGGCGGAAGGCAGATACTTAACCAACTGAGCCACCCAGGAGCCCTCATCCTGCTGACCTTTTCACTGGAGAATTCAATCCATTTGCATTTAAGATAATTACTGATAAGGAGGGACTTACTTCTGTATTTTACTATTTGTTTTCAATATGCTTTATAGCATTTTTTGTCCCTCATTTCCCGCATTACTTTGTGTTTAGTTGATTTTTTTATAGTGAAACTTTTTAATTCCTTTCTCATTTTCTTTTTTTATTTTATTATTTTTCTTTTTAGAGAGTGAGTGAGTGAGTGGAGGGAGGGGCAGAAAGACAGGGAGAAAGAGAATCTCAAGCAGGCTCCCCCACACCCAGCTCAGAGCCCCATGTGGGGCTCAATCTCACAACCCTTGAGATCATGACCTGAGCCAAAATCAAGAATCAGACACTTAACCAACTGAGCCACCCAGGTGCCCCTCCTTTCTCATTTTCTTTTGTGTATATTCTGTAGCTATTTTCTTTGTGGTTACTATGGGGATTACATTTAACATCTTAAAGTTACAATGCTCTAAATTGAATTTATACCAGCCTAAATTCAATAGCATAAAAAAATCTCTGCAAGATGGCTCTTAAAAAGCAAATAAATATGGAATTATAACTCAAGATAAGGACCAAGTGCAAAAGCAGACTGCTATGATAAAGAAAACAGGGGTCAGCAAGGAGAGCCACTCTGAGGGGACATTTACCCAGAGTGCTCAAACATAGAGAAAGCTAGCTTGATAAGGAGTGGGGAGAAGAGCATTCCTGACAAAGAGAGACCACGAGTCACAGAAGAGCTTGGGGCACCTAAGAAACAGGGGTCCACATGGCAGGAGTTCAGTGTTGATGTGGGGAAGGGAATCAAGTCCAGGAGAAGCAGGTGGTCCCAGTTCCACAGCCTGGGAGGGCCGTGCAATACAGGGAGCACTCCCCATCAAGTGCACAGGAAGCCACAGAAGGGCTTAGCGCTGCTAAGTAACGAAGTCCTAATTCTGTTGGATGAAGCTCTTGCTGGCCATTCTCTGGCAAGGAATCAAGAGGAAAGAAAACGAACGTGAGGAGCCCAACGAGGCAGCTCCGGCAGTCTCCAAAGCCAGAGATAACGGAGGGCAGTCCAGGGTGGAGATGGAGAGAAACAATGGGCCCCAGACAGGCCTGTGACCTTGAACAGGTGAGACCGGAGTCCCTCAGCCCTGGCTCTGAGTGCCTGCCCTGCCGTGTCCTCGCTCACTGGCTCTGCACCTTGACTATGGCACTCCCTGCAAGCTTCTATTTCCTTCTCTGTAAGATGGAAATATAATGAAATCCACCGGGTATGAGGAGGAGAAATAACCCAGCTACTCATCACGGACGTGCACTCCTTTCCTTCCTCTCAGACATGTGCCTCTGGTCAGTGCTGATCTAATTCAAACACACATCACAACCATGAGAGGCTATGAAAATTGTAAGCAAACACGTGACACCCAATTCGCCCAGCTTTGAACGTGTTACCAAGTCCCTATGAGTGCCCAGGCCTGCCTTGGGGACAGGAGCCTGTCTAGATTTAGCCTCAAGGGTCCGAGCGGCAAGCGTGGGTGGGCAGGTATCTACCCAGAGGATGTTGGCACCCAATGATGCTACCTCCCGCAGCCTGGAGAGAAACATGTTGCAAGGAAGGTAGCAGCTGCTCCAGCAGATTCCCTTCCAAATCCACCGAAGCTAGGGAAACAGAGCCAGTTCAATCCTGCAGGCCCACAGTAAGCACTCTGATGGGAGAGAGGTGAGCTGGTTGGCCTCACCTCCCTGCTCACTGCACCTGGAGACCTGTCTAATGACAGGGCTCCTCATCCCCACCACAGTCCTTTCCCATCCTCCTGGCTTAAAGAAGATCTCACTTCCTAACGGAAATCCCTAGGCTAAAACAGCCACAGGAAGAACAGAATTCTTTGGATTTTCTTTTTTCTTTTTTTAAAGATTTTATTTATTTATTTGAGAGAGAGAGACTCAGAGAGAGAGCACACGAGAGGGGGGAGGGTCGGGAGGGTCAGAGGAAGCAGCAGACTCCCTGCTGAGCAGGGAGCCCGATGCGGGACTCGATCCAGGGACTCCAGGATCATGACCTGAGCCGAAGGCAGTCGCTTAACCAACTGAGCCACCCAGGCGCCCTCTTTGGATTTTCAAAACCAGGGTTTGAGGACCTAGAGGATGGTAGTGGTGGAGGGTGGTCTTGTTCAAAACAAGGTACCACGTCTGCATACAACTTGTCTTTAAGTTTTCTGAATGGCGACCCACCACGAGAGCCACAGAAACCAGCTCCCGGTGAGTCTGTGTAAGTGGGTCAGGAGACTCTGCTCTCATTTGCTTTCTGGCCTCATCAGACTGGCCAAGAAACCCCACCGGAGGTGACTGGAGGGTTCGGTATTAGCGTACACATGCCAGATGCCCTTCACCACAGTGGCCCCGCTCTTATTGGGTAGGCCTCATCAGGAAACATCTAAATCCCAATTTAATGGGGTTGGCCCCAGATCTGCCCTCGGCAATGGGATCTGGAGCCTCCAACTTCTTCGTCCAAGCAGCGGAAGGGGAGTGAAGAGTGCTGAATGAAAGCCAAGCATGGGGACCACTGGGTCCCTGTCCTTCCGTCTTACAGCCGTGGGGGGCTTGGGGGCTACATCGCCACGTCCCACCCCCTCCCTGCCTGTGATACCACAGCGGCCCCTGCCCCGACGATAAAATTATGAAAACAAATGTCAAAGCGGAAGCTTTGCCTCATTACTGCTTGCGCTGCCGTAATGAGTGTTTATTCCTGGCACCTGTGCTCTGGACAATTAAAAAACATAAATGAGATGAAATGAACTACAGAGGACAGAGGCTGCTGTGGAGCCAGCCCCACCAGCCCTCCTCCCGGGTGTCCTCCGGGCAGACGGAGGCACAGCAACCCGTCATTAAGCAGCCACCGGGAGGACTCGGGTTTGTGCAGACGAGGAACACGTATTTCTCGGAGGCCAGGTCCCCGCGTGAGCCTCCCTGCCCCACCCCCCCTCCCCCCCTCGCAAACTCTTACTCTTCTTCAGCCCAAAGGTCAGCTCTGCCGGAAGACTCCACGCTGTGGGATGATCACTCGGCAGCCCTGCCCCCGGCCCCCAGCGGTCCCTGCCCGTATTTCTACTAGAACACGGGCGTTTTATCTGTCTGCGCATAGCACTGCCTTCCGAGGGAAGGACCAGGTCTGTTTCGCACCTGTATCCCCAACACCTTAACACAATGCCAAGGGTCTTCAAAAAATGCTCGTCAGGAGAGTGGGTGGATGGGTGGAGTGGGGACGCATGCAAAAGTCCTTCCGTGTCTAAACTTTGAGGAGTGCAGCCCCTCCCCCCTCACCAGTCACGTGGTTTCCCGCTATCCCCATTCATCAAATCAGAGGTAGACACCGGCTTCGCGGCTCCTTCCCCGTACCTGCCGCCAGACAACCTCTCCCCCGACTCTCCTCCAGCCCTCACGGCGCACGGCGAGAGCTGATTCACATTCAAGTGTGATCCTGATTCCTTCTACTAGACCACTGACTCCTTAGAATAGGGACTGACCCGCTCAACTTGGAATCCCCCTGGGACGGGGCCTGGCACTTAGGCACGGTCTTGGCAAACCGCTGGTAAGGAATGGCAGGCGGGGCAACCACTGAGCAGCCCCCCGAGCTGAAAGTACACACGAGGGCAGGGTCGCGGCCGGGCCCTCTCCCGTGGGACAGGGCTGTGTCTCCATCCCCCAACCTGGGGAAAAGACAAGGACAGAGCACTCATCCAGGACCCCGACAGGAGACTCACCATGTTCATGACGGTGAGGATGAACCTCTGGGCGGCCTCTGCCCCGTGGTACTGCACCATGTCAGCATCGGCCACCACCAGCGTCTCCACCGTGTGCTCGCTGGTCAGCTGGATGGCGTTCCTCCGCTCCCGCCAGTCCTGGGACGGCCTGCCCTTCCTTGGCTTCTTCTTTTCTAGAAAACGACAGAGACATCCATGCAGGCCTTGGCATTTTGAGTTCTAAAACCAGTGAAGCGGCCTCCTGCTGAGCCTCCCACAGAGAACGGTCAATCTCCAGGGGCCAGGAGAGCTGGACCTCCACCATCCGGGGCGGGGGGGGGGGGTGGGGTGGATCCTGAGCTCACTTCCTACAGGGGGAGCTGAGGGGCAGAAGGGGGCTCACATCTGTCCACATCGCAGCTGAGGAGGCCAATGGGACTGAACATCAGGGAAGAGAAAACCTGCCCCATCAGAGGAGAGCGGCCAGCCATGCAAAGTCAGCGGAGGGAAAGGAAGCCCAGGCCCACTGGGGAGAGATGGGAAAGCGCCTCAGGTTAATGGCAGAGACCCAGCAAGCTTTCTGAAAGGGCTAACCCCACTGTTGACAGCTGGGACCCGGGGAGGTGGCACTCTGGCCACTGTTCTGACGGTCACGAAAAAGGAGCCATAAACATTAATAATCACAACAAAGCATTATTTCAAAGAAAAACAAAACAGCATCAGAAAAGAAAATCACCTGACACGCACATCCCGGCCAAGACAGGTCCTTTCGTCAACCCAGGGAAGGGTCATTGGCAATCCTCTGCTGACTCTTTAGATAAACTGATTCCCTATCAGATCTGATCGTTGTTATCAATTAGAGCCCAAATCAGAGTGTCTGGGCAACTCCAAGCTGCTAGGTGAGGGTGACGTAGGCTTTGCTGATGAAAACCCCTCTGACCAACGCTAAAGGCTGATATGAATAGCACGCATTTTCAGGATCCAAATGTATGTAAATAGAAAGGCACTTCTTAAATTTGATAACTATTATTTCCATGTTGAGCACTAGACCCTAGAGAGATGACAGGTGTCATCTCTGCTACAATTTCCACACAGCAAACCCAGCCTTCATATGCACCAACCAGCTTCATAGTGATCTGATCCTTCCAGAGCCAAAAAAGCACACTGTGAAACAGCCTGAGATACGGGTCATCATGAACAAACAAGAATACTCTGTACCATGTAATTTACAACTGTGAAAACCAAAAAGCAATCTAAGTATCCAACCACAGAGAAAGCCAGCCATGGTAAAATGGTTTGCAGCAGGAAAGGCACGTTTGTGACAATTACTTAGCAACATAGAGAGAGGCAGAACTAAATCTGTATCTATAGTTGAATTGCGATTTTGCAAAGATTTAGCACACAAGTACCCTTGGGCCCCCAAAGGGAATAAATAAATAAGTAGACAGATAACCAACCAACGTAGGTAGAACGTAACTAAAATGTGAATGGTAGGGGATATGTGATCTTCGTTTTCCTTTTTTTCTCTGTATTTCCCAAGTGTATACAATGAACCAGAATTACTTTATTTAAAATAATGATGTTGAGTTTGAGAAAAACACAGATGTCACTTTTACACTCTTCACAACAATACAGAAGGCATCGGGGAGCTTGGTACGTTATCGGATGAGCTGCAGAAACACAGGATGAAAAGCATGAATGCGTCGGTCCTGTCTCTCCTCGCCCAGAGCCAGATCTACCTCCCATCAAGACTTCCAGGCCTCAGCAGTGGAGTGAGGGAAGAGTCCATGCTAAGTCGAAAGGCCGGGTCTCCGATAGCGCTGCCTTACACATGGGCAGAATGAAGAGGCTGCTTGTCCAAGGTCTCTTTGTAAACCTATACCCACATTCAGCAACCCATTCATCTCTGACCACGAGGAAGGAGGCACAGGGGTGATCTCCACATTCTGGGCTCAGGTGCTTGCTTGCCAGGTGCTCCCTGCCTGGATCAGGCTGACCTGGATTTTGTAACAAACCACCTTGCTCCCATTTCAATGCAGTGGAAGTGAAGGGCCACCCAAGTAAGCATTCTGTTGTCATGAGCACAACCACGTTCTCCCAGCCACGTGCTACTGCAGGTCCAACTCCTAGTCTCATCTGCAGATCCCCCCCCCGCCCCGCCCCAGGGCTGCTCAGCACTTACTTTTGCACAGTGTCCTATGTTTTCAGGTTCTTGTGTGGAAAGAGCTATATTTTTGGCAAGGTCCAGAGGACACATTAGTAATCTGTCCCTGGAAGATGGTGAACTTGGACCATGTGAGCTGAGCAGTCTCTGAGAGAAGTAGCCCATCACTCCCAGACCAGATCAACATGCTGCACTGGGGGGCGCCTGGGTGGCTCAGTCGTTAAGCGTCTGCCTTTGGCTCAGGTCATGATCCCGGGCTCCTGGGATCGAGCTCCACATCAGACTCCCTGCTCTGAGGGGAGCCTGCTTCTCCCTCTCCCTCTGCCTCTACCCCTCCCTCTGCTCATGCTCACTTGCTCGCTCTCTCTCTCATAAATAAAATCTTTTAAAAAATACTGCACTGGGCATCATTCTTTAAGTACAAAGTAGGACTAATAAGACTTACCTCTCCCTCCCTGATGGACCACAGAGAGCTAATAAACAGGGTGTCCTACAGGGTGAAATGCTATGGTTTGACACGTGCCCAGAATACTAATAGGTAAAACACAATGGTCAGGAGCTCTGGGTTTTTGTGTTTGGTTTTTTTTTTTTTTAATTTTTTAATTGTTTTGCTCTGATTTTTAAAGGATTTTCACTACAACTATCCCATGTAGTTCCCTTCATGGCCCCCAGCCCCTGGCCTAGCACATGGTGTGGCAGGAAATTCACTGGATAAATGCACCCACGGATGGATGGGTGGATGGATGGATGGATGGATGGGTGGATGGGTGGGTGGGTGAGTGAGTGAGTGAGTGAGTGAGTGAGTGAGTAAGTGAGTGGAATCCCTGTTTCCCACATCACAAAGCCGAAGTCAAGCACTAGGCAGTGGAGATTTCGGCCCTAGAACCCAAAGCTTCCCCCCCTCTGCTCTGACTCTCCCCACCTGCTCGGCCTGTGTGTGCCAACAGGCTCCTCACTGCCCTCTGAGCGTCAAACCTAACAGTAGGAGGGCCAAAGAAAGCTCAGCAGGAAAGGGTTCTGGATTGAGCATCACGAAATCAATGCTGCTGCATCAACCTACCCAGGTGCAGGTCCTACCCAGGAAGACGGGGCACAGATTTCTGAGCAGCCCCCACTGACCATGCTCCTTCCGCTTGGAGAGTCTCTAGCTTGTTCCAGGCCCTCCAGCAGCTACGGGGTAATTATCCCTCCCAGCTGCCTGGGGCCCGTCGCGAGGCTGTCTGCATTCCCCTTGCTGAGCATTGTTACTTGGGGCTGTCAGGCCAGAACCACACTAGGCTGGCTGGTAACGCGCACCCCGGTGCTCTGTCCTGCCCCTGCACCCACGGGAAGAGGCCGGAAGGCTTGATTCAAACCCCTGTGGCCAGATGGGTTTCAGGAATTCAGAATTTTTCAGATTTTGCAAGGCAATCCGGTGGGCATGCCACATACCGAATACCACTTTCAAATGAGGTCTGGGGCAGCAAGCTGTTATCAAAAGGCACTACTATTTCTGCAGTGAAATGAATAAATGGGGGGTCAAGAAAGACCTCACGTCAGGGCAGGGCAGGCCTTCCACAAAACGAGTGTCCAAGGGCTTGGATTTGGTGGGGCGCTTGTCTAGCTTAGTGGGTTAAGCGTCTGCCTTCGGCTCAGGTCACGGTTAGGGCCCATTGGGCTCCCTGTCAGCAGGGAGCCTGCTTCTCCCTTTGCCGCTCCCCCTGCTTGTGCTTACTCTCTGTCTACATAACAAATAAATAAATAGAACCTTAAAAAAATAATCCTGGATTTGGAATTGCAGGTCAAGAGACCAAGGACCAATATTCCCTCTCTCAATGCCCCTGTCCTTCCTGGGGGTAGTGGCAGAGAGGAACAGGGGGGTGGAGAGAAGCTTGTTCCTTCCTACTCCTCACTCTCATCAACCACTCCACCAGCAGCTCCATGCTCATCACCACTGATGGCTAGTCCTTCCCTATGGCGAGAACAGAACCGTAATACATTTTTACCTTTAATTCCACAAACTGCGTACGTACACTTTAACAGACAGTATCTGTCAACACCAATATTCACAGATTATAAACATCTTGAAAAGTAAGAAGAAAAACACTAATTTCGGAATAACAAGGGTGCTGGATCCAGACCTCACCGGAGAAGTCAAAGTTCAGGCTGGGCAGGTGTGCAGCCGTCTGGAGGGCCCTCCGCGCTGGGCTCCGGGGTCTGCTGTCTCCAGCCACTGTGGGAACAAGGGAGGCGGCCCTCACCCCACTGATGAGGACAGACCACAGCCGGTGGGGCTCCAGGCCCTCTCCTGCTGTTACAGACACCAGCAATCATTCCAAGTCCACCATGTGGTCTCGTCTGCCAGCACATTGCTGGAGTTGGCGCTGACTTGGTAGATTTTCAATTTCCGGCTTCATATTATTTTTTCTTACATTTATTTTCCCTTTGCTCCAATTATCCATTAAAAAAAGAAAATTCAGGGGGCGCCTGGGTGGCTTAGTCAGTTAACCGTCTGCCTTCGGCTCAGGTCATGATCCCAGAGTCCCAGGATCGAGCCCCGCATCAGGCTCCCTGCTCAGCGGAGAGCCTGCTTCTCCCTCTGCCCCTCACCTCGCTCGTTTTTTTCTCTCTCTCTCTTTCTCAAATAAAAAAAAAAAAAAATCTTAAAAAAAAAGAAAATTCTATGTATTTATGTAAGATACCCCAAGTCTTTTTTAGAACAAGAGGAGAAAGAGAAAAACATGCAGAAAAAGGGCATTCTAAATGTGGTGCTTTTAGAATATTGACATTATTACTGATTCTAAGAATTTGGGGACTACTGAAAATGCTGAGCAAATACATAAGCTGTCATTTTCGTTACGAGCTTTGCTCTTGGCAAACTAAAAAAAAAAATCTCGGGTGTGAATTATCAAGCTCTGTATGAAACAGATATTTCTTTAGTTTAAAAATAAAGAGTCTTTAGGTATTTACCAGGGAGAAACAACACATGGATCACAAAATATTTGGTGTGAGAGTTCAACCGCTGGAAGAATTACTCTGTGATTCTACCCG